GGTGAGACTTTCTAAGGGAATCTGCCCAAATGCCCACCCCCGGGCCTCCCCTCCAGCACCTGGGGAAGGCCTGGGCGAGGCTGGCAAGTCTGCATCTCCCCTGAGCACCGGGGCCAGTCGGAACCCGGTGGCTCGGTTGCTCTAATGCTTCCATTTTCTTTTTCTTTTTCTTTCTTTTTCCCTAGATTAAAGCCCTGAGTTGTGTTAACCACACTCTGTCTATTTCTCTCTTCGGCCTGGGCCTGGCTGGGCCATATTATTCACTGGCCCTTCACTGCAATCCCCATTCCCCATGCTTGTCCCCCTTTCCCTCCCTCCAGGCACCCTCCCCGTGGTTGGTATAGAAATCCCTACATGTACATGAGTCTTTGTAAAATATGTAATAGTGTATGTGCTCATTTACATAATAGCATAGTGCTATAAACTTCTGTTTCTTTTTCCACTCGGCACCATGTTTCTAAGACCTAAATGTGTTTCTAAATCTACATCTAATGTGTTGCTTCCAATTCCTGTGCCGTCTACGGGGGTCCACCATCTGCATCTACCACGACTCCCTTATCCACGCCCCCAGCCCCACCCTGATGGGCACGAGGGGACCTCTTAGCACAACCCGCAACATGGGATGCACATTCTTGGACATTGTTCCTCTCTTACATCTGATTCCCCAGAAGTAGATCCTGAGTCAAGGATCTAAGAGCAAATAATTTATTACAAGCAATGTCTGCCAAGACCCCAGAAAACCCAGACCTGGGAAATCTACCCACAGTGGGATTCCTGGGTCAGACGGCAGCAGCAGCCTCCATTTTCCTCCGCATCCTTGGCGGCTTTCCCCGAGGCAGCACCAGACCACATGTGTCACAGTGACTGGCCTTGAACCCAAGTCTCTGGATTTCAGAACCGGTGGTCTCTTCTGCATCCCCATTGTCCGAGGCACAGAAAATGCCAGGTTCAAATCCCACTGGATCAGGTTGAGAAAGGAGTCACCCTTGGCTAGTGGAAGGAGGGATGACAGACACCTTATAATAATACGGCAGTTGTCCACTGCATGTCCGGCTTTGGGGCAATCATGTCCTTGTGTCATTTGCATTTGTCTTCACCACAACTCAAGGAGGCTGGAGCTATTCATATCCCCATTTTACAGATGAGGAAACTGAGTCTCAGAGCAAAGACATGTCTTGCCCAGAGTCACAGTGACTGGCCTTGAACCCAGGTCTCCAATTTCAGAGCCAGTGGGCTCTTCTGCTTCCCCAGCGTGGGGTGGTCATCAAGGTGTCCCTCAAGCTGGACTCCCTCGACCCTCAGAAATAAAATCACTATCGTCCATCATGCTCTTGAAGTGACAGACCCAACACCTCAGAGAAATTGTAAAAGACCGGTTTTGTGTGTTTTTGTGAGAAGTGGCATTACTTGCAGAAGCAGGATTCATGACCTTCACTGGGCACTGTAGAGTCTGGAGCACGTGGAACCGTCCCCCCACACCCATCGCACTGGATACGTGTGCCCGTCCTGCAGCTAGTAAACGCCGGGTCTGACCCTCCAAGTGGGAACGGCCTGAACGGAGTATGCTTCTCCCTCTTCGCCATCCGGAACCATCTGCTGGGACAGCGTCACTTTCCACGCAGGACGCTGAGGCTCTCACTCACAACAGACCCTGGGGTGAGAGGGAAAGGAGGCAGCACGCCCTGGGGAGCTTCCTGCTGGAGAGAGGCTGAGGGTGGGGAGAGGAGATTCCTCAAGAGCAGAGGGGGTGACAGCCCTGTGGGCTTCACAGAGCCCTCCGGGGCCTGCAGGGCCAGAGGAATGTTCCTTGGCCTCCGTCATCATCATTCTCACCAAATGGAATGTCGTATTCCTCTTGTCTTCGGTGGCAGATACAGCCGCAGAGCTGAAGGCGATGGTCACCAGTGTGACGTGCCCAAAGGGGGCACCTGTCACTCGGGGGCGGGGGGGGGGGGGGGGGGAGAAGGATTATGGCAGCTTTGCCTGAGGAGATGGACTCCAATTTTAGGTCAGGTTAAAAGCGTTCTCAATGCTCTAAAATCAGATCATCTTTATTTCCAGCACAGGTACACCCTAGTTTTCCCAAACCCCATCTGTGACACTTACTATTCCCAAAGGTAAAGGAGTGACGAAATCATCGCTTTTGTAGAAGGATTCCTGATAGGAAAGGGGGGTGGGGTTCCTCTCCAGTGTGGAACCCCACTCCCACCCCGGCTCCTAGTGAGCACTGTTTCTCATCTGGACAGGTGTGTGTGTGTGTGTGTGTGTGTGTGTGTGTGTGTGTGTGTGTGTGTGTACACGTGTCCAGGGTACAGTTTGACACTCAGGTACTGGAAATGAGTTTCCATGTGGAATTGATGGATTTTGATGGTACCACATGCTTCCATGGGGACTGGGTTTGGAGGAGGGATGGTGCTTTTATAAAGCAATTACACTCACTACTTTTCTATAAATTGGCTTAATTCTGGAGACTCTGTTGCTATGACTTGAGGATCTCAAACTCAAAGGCCTACAGGGGCCAGGACGTAGAGGGTGTTAGGAAGGCCACAGGGAAAGGCGGGGACTGTGGGGGATGGCAGCGTGCACGCCCTGCGTAAAGGGGACGGTCATCTCTCAGCTGGAATTTGGGCCGAATGTTGCCAGATAGTCTGGGTTTCAAGAGAAACCAAGAAAGTGAATTTTTACCTAAAATTTCTCATCTTTCAGAATCTTCTCCAAGCCAGGAAAAATATTTGTGAACCAAATTCGGCCCAGGAGCTAGGATGAATAAGCAGTCTCATTCTAGCGTGGAGGGCTGGAAGGGAAGGAGTCTACGTAAGCTGACACTTTGACCTCAGTTTCTCAGAAGTGCCCTCACCATGCCGGCCTCTCCAGCAGGAATTGTACTCATTTGGCAAACACGTCTCCGGGCTCCGAGGCTGCTGGGCACCGAGATTAAGAGATGAGTCAAGTACAGTTCCCCCCCCCCCCCAGGGGGCAGGGAGTCTAATAAAGAAGCCAGGCTTGTGCACAGATACTTCTAAAAATGGGTGATAAGGCCGAAACCGGTTTGGCTCAGTGGTAGAGTGTCGATCTGCGGACTGAAAGGTCCCGGGTTCGATTCCAGTCAAGGGCATGTGCCTTGGTTGCGGGCACATCCCCGGTGGGGGATTGTGCAGGAGGCGGCTGGTCAATGTTTCTCTCTCATTGACGTTTCTGGCTCTCTATCCCTCTCCCTTCCTCTCTGTAAAAAATCAATAAATAACTGTTGAATATAATAGAATCAGAGGTATGGAAGGGGAGAGAACTGACGATTCTTGGGGAAAAGGGGAGAGGGGGATGTGGGAAGAGACTGAACATAAACTGTGCACCTATGGATGAGGACAATGGGGAGTGGGGAAAGGGTAGAGGGTGGGGTGGGAACCTGGTGGAGGAGAGCAATGGTGGCAGGGGGGAGGGGAGAAGGAACATTTGTAATAATATGAATAAAAATTTATTTAAAAAAATAAAAAATAAAAAATAAAAATAAATAATAAATTTTTTTTAATGGATGATAAGTGCAGTGGAGATAAATGAACCTTGAAGCGGGTGGGGGGGAGCAAAGAAGGGGGGGGATAGAGTGAGCTCGATTTAGCTGGCAAAGCCAAGAAGGCTTCCTGGAGGAGCAGGCGTGCCCGTCTCTGTTCACGGCTGTATCCTCAGGAGGACGTTTGCCAATTCGTGAATGAACGTGGTGCTGTGGTCGTAACTGAGCATTTCTTTGGACATTACCTCTTACTGGTGGCAAATGATAGACTTTTCCCATTCATGAGAGCAACATCCATCCAAGATAAACACAAATAGTAATAATAATCATCGTATGCCTACTATGTGCCAGGCACTGTGTTAAGTACTCTTCATTGAATCGTCTGGACAACTCTATAAAGTAGGTCCTATGTCTGTACCCATTTCACAGATGAGAACATTAAAACACATGAAGGTTGAGTAACCTGCCCGGGCCATGAGGCTGCAGAGTCTGTGCTCAGAACCACCACACCAGTGCCTTTCCTCCTTGGCGCTGTGGGCCTTAGGGACCAGATAATTCCATGTTGTGGGGCCTGGCCTGTGCACTGTAGGAATTTTAGAAGCATCTCCGGTCCCCATCGACTATGCCAGTCGCATCCACCAGACATGACTATCAAAAATGCCTCCAGACATTGCCACATGCCCCCTGGGAGAGAAATTGGCCCTCCTTGAGAACCACTGGTCCAAACTAAACTGCCTTTGCAAGCTTAACAAATAGAAAGAAAGAAAGAAAGAAAAAAAGTGGGGGTAATGTACAATGGAGTTTTAAGTAAATAATAGTACAGAGCTTGCCTGGCAGTCCCCTGGGACGCCAGCTCCGAAGGCCGGGGGCCCTGTCTGATGCTGTGTGTGGCTGTGAATCGGCAGTGCCTGCAGCAGCACCTGGCACACAGTGGCATCAGCATACTTACATAAAAGAAGCGGGTGTGGAGGAATCAGGGGATGCTGAAGGATGCTGCTGCTATTTTCACTCTTAAGCGAATGTTTTCGTTCGCTGGGGCTGCTATAACCAAATACCTGAACTGGGTGGCTCACAAACAAGACATATATTACTCAGAGTTCGGGATGAGGAGGGGAGGTAAAGTCCGAGACCAGGCTGCCAGCCTGGTGGGGTTCTGATGAGGACTGTCCTCCTGGCTTGTAGATGGTGCCCCCTTACTGGGCACTCACAGAGTGGAGGGTCAAGGCTCTGGTATCTTTTTCTCTCCTTAAAAGGGCACTAATCCCATCATGAGGGCCCCACCCACATGGCCTCATCTACACCTAGTCATTGCCCCACCTCGAATATGGTCCCACTGGGGTTAGGGCTTTTCCCTGTGGATTTGGTGGACACAATTCAGTCTACAGCAGCAAATAATCTGCAGGATCAGCATTGTCAGCTGGGACTCGAGGGTCACTGAGGGTCTCTCCTCTCTTCTCTTCTTCCCCCAGGCCGGGGAGGGATGTGAAGACTCAAAATGACACTCTTACCAGGAGACAATTCCGATTACGACTACAGCGCCCTGAGCTGCGCCTCCGACGCCTCCTCCCACCCGGCCTTCTTCCCGCAGAGCCAGTCCCTCAAGGGCGTCTTCTACCGCCGGGCCCAGCGGCTGCGGCCTCAGGATGAGCCCCGCCCGGGCGGCCTGCCCGGGGACCGCCGCAGGCGGATCATCATCAACGTGGGCGGCATCAAGTACTCGCTGCCCTGGACCACGCTGGAGGAGTTCCCCATGACGCGGCTGGGCCAGCTCAAGGCCTGCACCAACTTTGACGACATCCTCAACGTGTGCGACGACTACGACGTCACCTGCAACGAGTTCTTCTTCGACCGCAACCCGGGGGCCTTCGGCACCATCCTGACCTTCCTGCGGGCGGGGAAGCTGCGGCTGCTGCGGGAGATGTGCGCGCTGTCCTTCCAGGAGGAGCTGCTGTACTGGGGCATCGCCGAGGACCACCTGGACGGCTGCTGCAAGCGCCGCTACCTGCAGAAGATGGAGGAGTTCGCCGAGATGGTGGAGCGGGAGGACGAGGAGGACGCGCTGGACAGTGGCAGCCAGGACAGCGAGGGCCTGGCGGAGGGGGACGGCCCCCGGGGCCGCTGCATGCGGAGGCTGCGGGACATGGTGGAGAGGCCGCACTCGGGGCTGCCGGGCAAGGTGTTCGCCTGCCTGTCCGTGCTCTTCGTCACCATCACCGCTGTCAACCTCTCCATCAGCACCTTGCCCAGCCTGAGGGAGGAGGAGGAGCAGGTAAGAGCCCACAGCGGAAGGCGGGGAGACTCGCGGCCTGGGGCGGGGGTGGTCACTCGGGACGGGAGACAAAGCTGTCTGCTAGGCCACTTCCTCTCAGAATTCCACAGCTCTTACCGTGCCACCTCCTCCAGGAGGCCCTCCCTGACTGCACTGGCTGAGGACCACCCTCCCTCCCTCCTGACATTATGTCATCTACCTCCTCATTCCAATATGAGCTCCATACCTGTCCTGCTTTGTGCCCTGTGCCCCAGTGTCTTGCAGCAGTGTCCAGCACCACAAGGCATTCCAGCACTCTCTGTTGGATGAATGAATGAGTGAGTGAGTGAGTGAGTGAGTGAATAAATGGATGGCATGATTTATGATATGCTTGGCCTGAAGCACACAACACATGGACATTTATTTCACCCACTTAAGTCCTTTCTCGACCTTCCCAATTCCCCTGTATAAAAATACCCCAGAAATGTAATTTCTGTGGTGGGGATGCGTGTGGGTACATGTCTGCACACAGTGAGCATGTCTTTGTGTGAAATGAGTGAGTGCATGGGAAGGGTTCGCTCCATAAGCTGGCGCACGGGGAGTGCTCCATCCTCAGGGCCACCGCTCAGCAGGGGAGCCAGGGAACCAGCCCTGCCTGCGTCCCATCTGACAGAGGCTCCTCTAGCATCCTGTACCCCTGGGCAGTGTTCTCCCAGCCACGTGACAGATGAGAGCACTGAGGTCGAGCCGCTAGCCCAGACCTAGGTCTGACACGGAGTCCAAATTCCGTGTTCTTAAATGTGGAACTGTGGGTTCCACCTGGAGCCTGAGTCCTGATACAGCCCACAAAGGTGGGTTATGGGCTGCACTCCCCAAAATGTTGACTTGGTCCCCAATGTTTATTTATTTTTAAGATATATTTTTTATTGATTTTGAAGAGGAAGGGAAAGGAAGGGAGAGCGAGAGAGAGAAACATCAAGGATGAGAGAGAATCACTGATCGGCTGCCTCCTGCACACCCCGCACTAGGGATCGAACCCACAACCTAGGCATGTGCCTTTGACTGGAATCGAACCCGGGACCCTTCAGTCCACAGGCCGGCACTCTATCCACTGAGCCAAACTGACTAGGGCTCCAACATTTCAAAGAAAGGTATTTTTCATTTAAAAAGTCAAACTCCCCACTCCTATAAAAAATCTGTGTGGTGGAGCCTGCTGGTCTGCCATCCCACACAGCCGCTCTCGCTCTCGTGGGGAGCTGGGTCCCTGGGACGTCTGCTCCCCGGTTCAGCCTCCTTCTGTGTGAGACCCTCGGCCTTTGAGTCGGGACCCCTTCCCCACACATGGAGCAAATTTCAAGACAGACAGACAGGTTTGGGCAGGTGTGAATTGTATAGGCCTTGGAGAAGTAAGTTTGGCAGTATGAATTGAATCCAAATAGCATGCCAGCCAGCATTCACTGAGCACTGGCTGTGTCCCCTGACGGAGAACTGGAGCTGCTCACCACGTGAGGTTTTCCACACGCATGCAGTATGGAAGAAGTAGCAATACTTTTGCATTTATAATCTGCAGAGGATATCTGGCACTTTTTTATATTTTGAATTTTATTAGTTTTTATTCCCTAGAGAAAGAGGTGTAACCAGGGAGAGAGAGAGAGAGAAAGAAAGAGAGAGAGAGAGAGAGAGAGAGAGAGAGAGAGAGAGAAACATCGATGTGCGTGTTAAACATCAATCAGCTGCCTCCTGCACACCCCCACCCTCACCAGGAATATAGCCCACAGCCCAGGCAGGTGCCCTGACAGCCTTTCAGTGTGCGGGATGCCACCCAACCGACTGAGCCGCACTGGCCAGGGCTGTCTTTGTTGAATTTTAAAAACAAGTGTTGCAACCACAGCATCACCCAGTAAAATTAACTATTGATAGGCATAAGGGGTGCTGATGAAGAGGGCGGGACTGGAGCCAGAAAGCCGAAATTTAAATCTGATTTCCTCCACTCTGGTTGTGCATCTGTAGGCAAGTTACTTAACCTCTCTGTGCCTCAGGTTCCTCACCTACAAAAAAAAAAAAAAAAAAAAGACAGAGAAAACGATCATCATCTGAGACCTTTCTGGAAGTATGTGTACTTAGATTAGCATAGATTTTGTTTCAGCTCAAACATATGTGACCCTGATTTCATCAGGAAAATGCTAATAAAGCCAGTTTTATTCAACTTCTGAAACTTGCTTTTTAAAAAGTAGTTCTTGCCCTAACCGGTTTGGCTCAGTGGATAGAGTGTCAGCCTGCGGACTGAAGGGTCACGGGTTCGATTCCCGTCAAGGGCATGTGCCTTGGTTGCTGGCATGTCCCCAGTAGGGGGCGTGCAGGAGGCAGCTGATTGATGTTTCTCTATCATGGATGTTTCTAACTATCCTCACTTCCTCTCTGTAAAAAATCAATAAAATATATTTTTTAACAAATAAGTAAATAAAAAGTAGTTCTTAAGCTTTCTCATGACTCAGTGACAGCACTATTCTCTGACTTCATTTGGGGAGCAGTGGGGTCACTGCTTCAGTTCCCCCTCGAGCACCTGTTTGTCTGTCTGAGGATTCAGGCACCACAGGGAGGCCGGGGGACCAGGGCACGTCTTCCAGCCTCAAGGAGCATCTAGGCCAGTGGAGGGAGGACATGGACACCCCTGTGAGCACATGTGTGAGAACAAGAAGTCTGAGACCCCCAGGATGAGCTCATCTCTCCAGCCTCTGACGTGTTTCTAGAGAGAGAACTATGAACCCAGCTGTGCCCGGGGACGGCAGGCCACCCCAGGCCGCAGCCATCAGTGCCTGCCTCTCTGCAAAGGCCCCTTTGAACGGGAGGTCACCACCACCCACTTCTATTCCAGAGAGACCCGCTGGCAGCCCGCCTGCCAAGGGCAGCACTCGGGTGTGCGCGAGAGGCCGATTGGGTGTTTTCTTTGTACTGATTTATCGCAACATTTCCCATCCTGGAGATTTCACAGAAAACTCCAAGCTTCCAGCTTTTCTTCACTGAGGCTGTCTCAAGCCTGAATTAGTGATTCAGGGCAGCAATCAAGGGGGAGTGGGATGTCACGTGAGTGTTTGCCATGCTCTCGGGCAGCCTCCACCCCAAATGTCTCAGCTCCCCCACTTCCTTTGCCAGCCTGGCCTTGAGTTGCCCCCTCTGTCTGAATGCCAGGCCAGTGCCCTTACGTCCATCCGGTAACACATATGAGCTGCTCACCTGCCGCACACCAGACCTTTTCAAATCAACAGACTGCCCCATTATTGGGATTACAGTCTGCTGGGACAGGAAGGAGGGGCAGAGACAGACAATAATCATGATAAATAAATACTTAAAAGCATATAAAAGATGGTAAGTGCTATGAATAAAGAGAGTGGGATGAGGGGAATCCGCTATAGGACAAAGGGAGAGGGAGATTTTTAAACAAGGGGTCACCAAGGCCTCCCTGGGAAGGTGAGATTGAGGCGAAGAGCTGGGGGCAGGAGGGCAGAGCCGTGTGGGTGTCTGGGGAAGAGGAATCCTGCTGGGGAAAGTCAAAGCCGGGCTGGGGTTGAGCCTGGGCTGCGGGAGGGGCAGTGAGGAGACCCACGAGGCGGGAGCAGGTGAGCAGGTGGACAAGGGCGAGGAGGCTGGAGAGGTGGCAGCTGCCATGTGTGTCCTGGGAGACTTGCTCTGTCCCTCTGAGTCATGGGAAGGGTGATGACCAAGGAGGGCCAGGATCTGACTCATGCTCAGGATCCCTCTGGCTGTGTGTGCTATGTGGATTGTAGGCAAGGGAGCCAGGCAGGGGTGCCCACCCTGCCCAGGTGAGAGAGGGTGCTGGCTAGACCAGGGTTGGGGCCGTGAGAAGTGATTTGATTCTGGAATCATTTGAAATAAAGAGCCGACGGGGTTTCCTGAGGATTGCATGGGAGGTGTCAGCACAAGGCTCAGGCTCTTGTCCTGAGCAAAATGGGAAAGGTAGAAACACTGTTTGCTAATCAGGGGAGGGACAGGTGGGCTGGTGAAATCAGGAGCCCAAAGGAACTAGATATATTTTTAATCTTTACTGAACTTACTGGGGTGACATTCATTAATAAATTATACAGGGTTCAAGTGTACAGCTCTGCAATGAAACTAGAACGTAATTGTTCTTACCACACACACAAAAAAATGACAATTATGTGACATGATAGAGGTCTATGCAGTAACCATGTTGCGATGTACAGATGCACCCATCAGCATATGGACACCTTACACTGACATGTTAATTATACCTCCACAAAAATAAACGTTTAAGAAAGTCAGGAGCTGGTTTGGGACATGAGTTTGTGACTCCTATCAAACACCCAGAGGTGACATCAGGGGAGCAGCGCAGCCATCTGGGTTCGAAGGTCAGGGGTGAGGTCTGGGCAAGAGAGAGAGAGAGAGAGAGGGAACACAGTGGTCAGCATCAAGATGACACCTCAAACCCTAGCGGTCACTCAGGGGTGAGCATCACTAGCTGAGGCCCCAGGGCCATGTGACACAGGCGGGTGGGCGGGCGGGTGGGCTGGCTGTGCCCAGGCTTCCTTTCACCCGGGTAGCACAGCTCCCTGCTCAGGGCAGAGCTTCGTGCTCCTCTCGGGGGGGACCGCTGACTCTCCCGGGCCTCTCCCCTCTCGCCCAGGGCCAGTGCTCCCAGATGTGCCACAACGTCTTCATCGTGGAGTCCGTGTGCGTGGGCTGGTTCTCCCTCGAGTTCCTGCTGCGGTTCGTCCAAGCGCCCAGCAAGTTCGCCTTCCTGCGGAGCCCGCTGACGCTCATCGACCTGGTGGCCATCCTGCCCTACTACATCACCCTGCTGGTGGACGGGGCCGCCTCCGGCCGCCGCAAGCCGGGCGCCGGCAACAGCTACCTGGACAAGGTGGGGCTGGTGCTGCGGGTGCTGCGGGCGCTGCGCATCCTGTACGTGATGCGCCTGGCCCGCCACTCGCTGGGGCTGCAGACGCTGGGCCTCACCGCCCGCCGCTGCACCCGCGAGTTCGGCCTCCTGCTCCTCTTCCTCTGCGTGGCCATCGCCCTCTTCGCCCCGCTGCTCTACGTCATCGAGAACGAGATGGCCGACAGCCCCGAGTTCACCAGCATCCCCGCCTGCTACTGGTGGGCCGTCATCACCATGACGACGGTGGGCTACGGGGACATGGTACCCAGGAGCACGCCGGGCCAGGTGGTGGCGCTCAGCAGCATCCTCAGCGGCATCCTCCTCATGGCCTTCCCCGTGACCTCCATCTTCCACACCTTCTCCCGCTCCTACCTGGAGCTCAAGCAGGAGCAGGAGCGGGTGATGTTCCGGAGGACCCAGTTCCTCATCAAGACCAAGTCGCAGCTGAGCGGCATGTCCCAGGACAGCGACATCCTGTTTGGAAGTGCCTCCTCCGACACCAGAGACAAGAACTGAGCCTAGAGACCGAGACCGCCATCTCTGCCGCCGCCACCGCCAGGTCACCCCCAGCCCTGCCTGCGGCTTGACGCTATCGCCATCACTGCAGACGCCTTGTAAGGCTCGTGCCCGTTCCGAACGTGGCCCTGGCCTAGGACTGACCTCGTGCACGCCCCTGGGAGGGTGTCCACCGCATCCCAGAAGGGTTCCTGCCCTCCTCGGCCAGCCCAGCTGGTCCCAGCACACAGCGTGACCGTCCCCGCCCGCCCCCGCCCTCAAGCCTGGGTCCCTCCATGAGGAGGTGCTTGTTCTTTCCACCATGTACATAGCATGCCCAGCCAAGACCTGCCTCCTGGGTGTGCCTAGAGAACACGTACCAACGGCTGCAGCCGCATGTCTGTCTTCCCTGTGGGTCACATGCCATTAAAGAAAACCAGTGAAAAGGAAGCACGCCTCCCCTGGGTTCTCTTAAGAAAGGAGAGTATCGCCGAAACCGGTTTGGCTCAATGGATAGAGCGTCGGCTTGGGAACTGAAGGGTCCCGGGTTCGATTCCGGTCAGGGGCATGTACCTTGGTTGCGGGCATATCCCCAGTAAGGGGTGTGCAAGAGGCAGCTGATCAATGATTCTCTCTCATCGATGTTTCTAACTATCTCTCTCCCTTCCTCTCTGTAAAACATCAATAAAATATATTTAAAAGAAAAAAAAAAAAAGGAGAGTATCGCCCAGCAAAACCAGCCGGTGTGGGGACCGGAAGTATCAGGCCTGTCTCCCTGGGTCCCTTGGGTCTCTGGGGCCAGTGGGGCCCCAGTGGGGCTGGAGGGGAAGGAAGGCTTTGGGAAATTCGTTGGTAAATACGGAATTCCCTCTCTCTTGTTTCTCTTGGGCTCCCTTTTTCCTCCTCGCCCATCCCTTTTTCTCCTATTTTGCACCCTTAGGCCCAAGGTTTCTCAAACTTTTCCCCCAAGGTACCCTTCATGGTTCAGTGCACACCAAGAGGCCTGTCAGCCTTGCTGACTACAAAGGTAAAATCGCTTCATTTTCATCTTTAAAAAAAAAAAAAAAAAAAAAAAAAGGCTGTGCTTTTAATTCTGTTCCACATTTATTTAAAATTTGGAAAAAATACTTTAAACTATGTCTAAATCTAAGCTGAGAGTGGGGTTGATGCTTCAGGGGTGTGGGGAAGGGGTTCTCTGAACAGTCTGAGACGCATAGTCTGAAGCTCCCAAAGGACTCCCACGTCCCCCAAAGACCCACAGAGCACCTGCTGCAGGGAGCACCTCCTGACCTCATGGACTGTGGGTGACCCACAGTAGAGGGAACCCCAGGCCATCCCGCCCGGCTAACTCAGCTCTCCGGTCAGAACCCCTCATCCCTCGGTGCCAGACGGTCACAGCCTGTCCTCACCCCCATGGGACCGGCAGCGTCACTTCATCCCGGCCCACAGCGCCTCCCCTGGGCCAGCAGCACAACGCACGCTCCAACACAGACCCGACCGCTGGCTGCCCTGCTAACTCCGCCGGGCTGCCCGTCACGTCGGGAGTAAACACAGATGCCCTGCATGCCCTGGCCCCGCCCTCCTCCCCAGCTCCGGCTCCAGCTCCGGCTCCCACCTCTACGTCGCTCACTCCACCCAGCCACACCGGCCTTTGTTCTGCTCTCTCCATGAGCCTAGCCCGTGGCTGTCTCAGAGCCTTCACACGTGTGGTCCCTCTGCAGGGACTGCCCTTCCCATAGAACACTGCAAGGCTGGCTCCTTCCCACCACCTCCCTGGCCACATCTCCACAGAGTCCACGCCAGCACCTCCGCCACCACCATCTCCCTCCCAACCTGCTTTGATCTCACCCACTGAGAAAGCTCTGAAACTGCCCGGTCAGTTTCTCTGCCACTCACGTATGGTCCGTTTCCAGCAGGCGGAGGCTATGCTGGCAGAGACTCGGCCACATGGCTCACCCCCAGCACCCAGCACAGGGCCTGGCACCTAGTAGGTGCTCAATCAATACTTGTTGGTTGAATGAATGAATGAATGAATGAATGAAAAATGAAGGGAAGCAGAAAGAGGGCCAGGAAGTGGAAAGGCGTCTGTTTTTAACTTTGGATGCTGGGCCTGCGAGCACCCCCCTCCTTCCCCCTGGGGGCTGGAGAGGGGCCTCCCCGTGCACTATCACAATACGCAGGCAGTGAAGCGGAGTGGAAATATCACTCGAGACTCGAGGGCCTTGTTAAAGGCTCCCCTGACACCTGCTTCCATGACTCACGCCTGAAAAGTAAGTTTTCCGATTAATTAGCTCTACCTTCCCAGCTCGGAGAGTGTCAGAGCGATCGGCACTGCCATCGTGGTAATAACACGTTAGATTTATGAAATGACCTTTTTTTCCCCTCCGAAGCGGCTGTGAGAGACAGGAACGGCTGAAAATGCTAAGTAGAACGTGACACCGAAAGAGGCATAAAAATGGAGCCCTTTAAAAGTCAAGGGGATGGGAAGCAAATACCGTTTGGGGTGGAGGAGGTGCTGGGACAAGCACAAGGAGGAGACACCCTCTCAAACCCTCCCTTCCCTCCCCTACCCGCCTCCCCACCCCCGCCGCCCCCTGAGGACAGAAGCTGAAGCTGGCAGTGCAGGGAGGAGCTGGGGTCGCTGAGGCCCACAGGCCCTGGCATCTTGCAAAGATTCTGACCGAAGCTGGTGCTGAGGCAGAGGCCCAGGCTTAGGCACCTCTCAGGCTCCCCTGAGGGTCAGGGGGGCTCTAGGTACTGACCTGCCCACGCAGATGGGGCTCAAGGGCCCTTGGTCCTGATTAAGAACAGGAGCCTCAGACACCTAACTAGCCACTTCCAGGACCCTGAGCCAACGGATGGTGATGGCTTTCCACATTTTTTTTTTCATTATGTGAAATCAAACTCAAAAATTGACTATAAATCGGATCGAATTAGGGCTATTGCGCTTGAAGTGTGAGCCACAGCCCCTTGTCCTGCCATAAGGGGGTCCTTTGACCCTGGAACAGGCGACTAACTCCATACAGCCAGGATGGTGTGTGAGAATCACTGCGCTGAGGGAAACAGCAAATTTTCTATTTGTTTCAGATTTTAGTAACCAGTTTATCCTCCAACTCTGATTTAGCTCATCACTTCTGCAAGATTCACTTCCTCTTCGTTTAGCAACACAGTCTCAGGCCCCACCCCTGAGCAGGGCCAGGACTTCCCACCTTGGGCTCAGAATTTCAGGCAGAGCAAAAAAAAAAAAAAAAAAAAAAAAAAAAAAAGTGATCAAGATAACTCATTTAATGCAGTATTTTTTTAAATCAAGTTTAATGTCAAAAATCCCTGATGAACAAAATATCAAATTTGTAAATAGAGACAGAATTAGCCTTTGTCATGCCACTGCCTGGTTCTGGTCCTGTCCTGACACCCCTGGCATATCCAATGACTCAGCACTAATTGGCATCTCCAAAGAGTGCAGGCGGGACTTAGCACCTGTACCCGCAGCTGCTGAGCATGGGCACCCCATCCACTGAAGGGCATCGGGATGGGCGCCAGCACCAGCTCCTGCCCCAGTGAGGGTTTTAGAACTAGCCCCTGTTCTTGGGGGACCCACACAGTGATGGGGAGAGACACATGGACGGGAGACAGTGGTGAGCACGAGGTGGCCCGACTGGGGGGAGGTGCAGAGCAGCCACATTTGAGGATCAGGGAAGGACTCTCTGAGAAGGTGACACTAAAAAGTGATCCGAGCAGAGAGAACAGCCAGTGCAAAGGCCCAGAGGTAGGGAAGACCCGAACATTTCTCCGGCTGCCCAGGGGCACGTGGGCACGGGAGCATGCCCCTGCTGGGGGCACCCTTCCTCCCAGGAGAGAACCCAGACATGCCAAGGAGACATCCCTGAATAAACGTTTCTAGAGATTTTACCCTGAAATGTGCTATCAAAGCAACTGGGAGAAAACAGACCCCACGGAACTGGATTCAGTCCCTGCCCCCGAGGGCGGGTTACACAATGGAGAAGACATAAAGTCCTTCTGCACATGTGTAATGACAGGGGGTGTACCCACCTCCTCCCTGGGGCAGTCTCTGAGTTCCTACCGGGATTGCAGCTGAGGCCCCCCCCCACCCCCCGCCCGGCTCCCTCTGCTCTTGCCCCCTCTCTGTCCATTCTTGCACAACAGCAGGAGGCCCTGCTAGAACCCAAGTCAGCTCCTGCTCAGCCTCCGCTCACGGCAAAAAAAAAAGCTGGTGACATCCACGCACAGTCAGAGCCAGAGTCTCCTTCGGCCCCACCCCCCCTTCCCTGGGCTCCTTGCCTCTCCCTCCTCTCTCCTTCAGACACACCAGCCCCCTGTCTTCAGGGGACAGACAAGCGCAGCAGCACCTCAGGGCCTTTGCACGTGCTGTTTGTTCCGGCCAGAAGACTCTTCCCTAAGGAATTCCCTCGTCACTAGCTTCACCTCCTCATTCGGTCTCTGCTCAAAAGACACTTCAACAGAAAGGCCTTATCTGGCCTCCTCCCTGCAGCCCAGCACAAAAGATCACTCTCCCAGCACACCCCAGCCTGTTCCCCAGGCCTCCTATTTTCTGTGTTCTGATGCTTTGATATCTGTGGCCTAGCAGACCCTGAAGAGCCTGCCCCTCCCGGAGTTAGCCAATTCCTAGAGACAGTAGCCGCATGCTTCTCAAATAGAAACCAGTCCATGCAGACTCCAGACCCCACCCCCTCCTTTCTCAGGCCCTCGTACTGCACGCCACCATCCACCTGCCTGTCACCCCAGGGCCAGGTACCCCTAGGGCAGAGGTGGAGAACACCCAGCCCTATAAGGCCCACAATGTCGTTTGGTCTGGCCCTGCCAAGGCAACCACAGGAAGACTAGAAATTCAATAAACCTAGGAGCTTTTTTCATAGCAACAGAAGTCTCTATTAAGTGAATGGTACTAAGTGAGTGATGCTATTCATACCCAGTGGCCCTTGGCTGGAAAAAGCTTCCCCACCCCTGCCCTAGGGGACAGCCTCCCACACTGCAGAGCCACT